GAACAATTACAAAGTTATGGCATCTATTAGTCTGCAAATGTTTGTAAGGCTTTGGGGCTCCAGTGAACAACGGAGAGGTGAATTTCCAAGAAGCTACAGTGACTCATCCAGGTCACAAAAGAACCAGAATAACATCTAAAGAACTGCAACCAAGAATCTAACATATAAGAAATGTATAAAACCAATGTGCTCATTGGGTTGTTTTTTATTGTTTTCTTCTGTGTTTCAATTCTGTTAAGATAACAGCTGGAGGGAACGCGGCAAGATAAACGACTGCAGACAGAAGAAGAACACAAGCAGCAGTTCTGTAATCCTTTTATTAATTTTTTCAATTTTATGACAGAAGTCAAGTAACAAGGCATCTGTAACAGTGCATCCACAAATCACATGTTGGCTCTCATCAGTGCGATCGTTCAGTCATTCAAAACACTGTTTGGAAAAATACAATACTGATTGTTTTTTTCTTAAAAAAAAAAGAAGAAGAAGAAGAAGGTAAACTACATCTGCTGAAGGAGCTCGTAAGATTCAGTCTTTGTCTGTAGTACAGTCTGGAAATGATGCACTATGAAGCAACACCGGAGTAACGACTCGATGTGGTAAATCTGAAGCCGGAGGATGAATACTGACCACGTGCACGGCTGGTTATGTGCGGCTAAATGAGAAGTGAGAATTTCTGGACCTTGAACCTAAAAGCTTTCAGCTTCATTATAAAGATTACAGAATATCTATCAGTGCATCAGGTGGTCCAGGTGTGTGTAGGAGGCTTCTGTTGCTATTACAGGTTATTAAGCTGTACGACACCGAAAGCACAACTCTCCTAACAGCACTGCACCGCTGTCCAAAGACGACTGAAATGTTCCTTTATTACCATGAGCACAGACCCACTCCCACATGCATCACTGTGCTGCCCAAAGTAACAGGTTGACTAATCGCCATGAAAAATAGTCCCAATAAACGCACTTTTCCTCCTGTTAAACAAAACTTCCCATTTTCTTTTGTGTGGTATCAAAAAGGGGAAAAAAAAAGCCAGCCATCAAGAAATACTGGTGTCAGCAGTTCATCCTCCCCAGTGTCGTTTGAGACGTGAAACAGCGCCACCTGCAGCTAAACCGCAGCGCTGCATGGACAAACTGAAACAGCAGATTTTGGTTTTAAATGTTAAACGGATGGACGAGCATCTCTAACACGACACAGACGGACACGGGTGAGATTTGTATTAGTTGTTCTCGCTGTACATGAAAATGGAATGATGTGCTGAAATTTGATTCTACACAACGATGTGTGCCGCTGGTCAAGTTTCTGGGCTGCTTTTCCTCATAACACCATCCTCATGATTTCTCCATTTAAAGCAATGCATTGTCAGGGACTGTAACATCGAGTCTTTTACTGATCTTTGATGAATGCATAAAATACAGCCCAAGTCGACCTGTTGGTATCTGTCTGAAGTCTTACTGCTAAATAGCTGCTTTATTACGTTTTTATTAGTTTGGTGAAAGAGGTTAAACGCCAGAAAACGGTTTAAAATTGTCCTTCACTGCTGGAGCTCAAACCGTGCAGCAATGAACAGGTGGCTTTAAATGAGTGTAACTTTCTGGGGTTCAGGAGTGATGGTCAGGCATCTCATTTTAAGTTTGCCCAGTTGAATGCTCAGCATTAATATAGAGCTGCTTTTATCTGAGTCTCAAAAGTAAAACACCGGGAACAAAATGAGGCACAACCGTGTGTCGACACACAAAAACTGTTTTGGTTCTTGTTCTCTGTCTCGCATGTAACAAGTTGATCGTCTTTCCTCTTCGGTTGTTGGGACATGATTGTGTGTCGGACGGCTGGTACACATTGCCAGCAGGTGTCCTCACAGGACAGCGATCGATGAACTGCGCGTGTACAGTAGAGCAATGTAACATCGAGCTCCACGGGCATCGCACCTCGACATCCAACACAGTGTTTTGTGAGGTTTGAGTTTTCAGAGGGAAACAAACACGGAGTGTAACGAGCTGTAAACAGAGAGCCAAGAGGAAAGAAGCTCTGACACTGATCTAAATTTATATCTGTTCTAAAGCTAGAATGCCTCAGGTTTTAGACTGAGGAGAAAAGTTTTGGCTGCAGCACAGTGGAAGCAATCCTCATCCAACGTTTATGTACAAACACAAACATGGCTTACATGGTGGTACAGGTTCAAAAATATTTCCTTTGTAAATGTATCTCTGGATTTAAAAGAATCCAAAAAATTGGAGCAAAATTGTTTTCGGGATCAAAAAGTTTGTCCCATCACTGTGCGCACTGAAGTGTCCGACAATTTATTGATTTACTTTTACTATACTATTCATTTATTGCAAAACTATTAAAACATTTTAGGAATTAAACTTGTTATTTTTGAGCTTCATCACTGTTAAGAATCACTTCAGTTCCACAGTTTGTTTAGTGTAAAGTAGAATTAAAACATAAGTGATGGTGTTTATTTGCTTCCACTGGGCTGCTAATCAAAAATTTAACTACTTTACCACTACTAATTTTAAAACAAGCTTTAAATATATGACTTAACTGTTACTTTTGAAATCAAAACAAACAAGAAAAAAAAGGTCTAATTTTCTGTTATTGGGTTGTGTTTTCTTCAGATTGGTCATTTTTACTTATTTTTGTTGAGGCTTCTTGTTGAAACTTTCCAATACGGTGACTCTTGCTTTTCAGTGCATTTAGTAGCAGTTGTGACTTTTCCTTCACAGAACACGATCAGAAAACGTCTACCAAAAAAGACTGCTGCTGAGTTTAATGTTAATTTTTTAAATGTCATAATAAATGGAGCAAAATTTTTCTGACTTTAACGACTAAATCTGTTACACCAAATGCAAAAGAAAAACAACGTCTGAGGTTCAAACTGGCGCTTCACGTCTTTTAAAGTCGAGCTGTTCCTTACTTTAATGTCTGCTGTTTTAATGGTGAATATTTAAGTGAGTGAGCTGGGGAGTCCCTACTATTGTCATCTCAGGCAACACCACTCTGGGTGTGGACCAAGCCCCACCCCCTCTGCTCAAACTACTGTTTGTGAGGGGCAGCCAACCAGAAGAAGCAGGTTTAAAGCAGTGGTATTTTTTTTCTATGCTCTTGCATTGATCTAGATCAAGACCTACGTTTGTTGTTTATTGACAAAAGATGGTTTAGTGAAGGTGAAAACAGATCAGGCCTGAAAATGTTTAAGAACCACTGGTGTAAATATTAAAAGAGTTGTTTGGGACAGTAGACGAATGAGGGACTGAACAAAGGCTGTATGAGTTAAAAGAGGATTATTTTAAACTGTGAGTCATGCAAAGCTATCTAGTCGAGTCCAGAGTAAAACAGTAGAGCTGGAAATGAGCCTAATTGGACTTGCACATTTGATAGGTTAAGCGTTTCAGTTTTTCATATTGCTAAAACATCTTTGGGTTTCGGGTTGAACAAAAAAATTTGAGCTCAGAAAACTGTTGATTTACATTGTTTGACTTTTTTTTAGATCAAAGAAAACGATCATTAGCTGCACTCCATCAGGAATCTGTGACTTTCTCTACTTTCTCAATAAACAACCTAACCATTCTGCAAACTGATGCCTTATTTTCTTATTTTTTCCTCACTTGGCTGCGACTTACACCTATCAAACGCAACACACATCAATTCTGGCAGACGAGCAGGTCATTACCCATAATACACCAGGACTAGTGTTTCATATTAAACCATCAAGGTGCATTCATACAGTTTCCATTGCAGACCCGCTTTCATTTCTGGAGCAGACAAAGGGAAGATGACTACACTATGACTCTACGTGATGGTCGACTACTCGCATCCTACATGTTGAGTACAAATGTTAGAGTTGCTGTTAGTAAAGTGGACGGAAGTCACTGAGCCTGAAATGTAGTCCGTTTCTTTCCTCGTTCTTCCAGTCGTTTATTCGGAGAATCCGCCGCTGGCTCGCCGGGAATGTGGTCAGGAGGAAAATGCCGATCCTCTTTTTTTTTTTTTTCTTCCCAGGTTAAGCTGCTTATCACAGGGTGCCAGTCGGAGGCCCGGATGTATGGATGCATTGTATGGAGCTGGAAAAAGCCAAAACAATCCGACTTTCAGCAGTAATACTGCGTGTCATTGTGTCAGGGGAGCAACAAAAGGCCTTGCATCGAAGAGGAAGGCATTCTGTGCATGCCAAGCTGCTTAGCCCAGTGACCTGTTGGGTTTTTCTTTTTAAAAAAAAAAGATTTTAAAAAAGGACGCTGTTTTTCACATAGCACCATGCCATCGGTTTCCAGTTCTTTAACGGTTGTGTGTCACATTTCCAAAGGTTTTTCTTTTTTTTCCAGTGAAAGCGCTGATACAAGAACAAAAATGGCTCAAAAGAAAATCGCAAATGAGGATGAAGCACGCAGACGTGAGGCGACGGTGAAGCTGAAGGGAGAGGTTAGCGAAGCTGAGGTATCTGTTCAGGTGACTCCTACAAGGTGACCAGTCTGTGTGTGAGGGGCTTCCAGTGTGTTTTGTACTATTAATGTGAGGATCGTGGTGACAGAAGGCACACATTGCCAAGGTGGAGTGTGGAGGTGGGGGCTTATAAGCGATGAACTGTCTTCCATCTCAAAGGAAACCAAGCTTCCATTTGCATTTCAATGAACCGAGCAGAGATTTCCACCTGGTCTGGACAAAGTGGAGGTCTACCTGAAGGTTTTCGGTCCACGTAGTTTACCAGTGTTTCACCAGCTAATCAGAGATTTGAGATGCGAGCGGGACATCCGTGTTGTGACTGGTGTTCCTGACAGCGGCTAAAAACCCAGCTGACTGGAGAAACAAGATGTCAGTGGAAGAGACCTGCCTCGTCGCCTGGCCCCGATCTGGAGCTCAGACTCGGACTGAGACGTGTTCCAGTGATTGGGCAGGTGCGGGGCTGGGCGCCGCTGCGGGTGAAGGTGCAGCCGCGGCTGCCGGAGGAGGAGTTATTGCTTTCAGCTCCTGGCCGGGGCAGCTCTGGGTGCTAACGCCACGGTTCAGGGTGCCGGGCGCGGCGGTGCATTAGCAGGCAGAGCGTTGGGGTCGGTTCGAGGGATATTTACGGGACAGGATCGGGTGCGGGCGTGGCCCTTGTGGCCGCCGGGGTGGCAGACGAGGCTGCCCACGGTGTCGACGGGCGACAGGTGGCGCTTGAGCCAGCGCTCTACCCGCTCCTCTTTGTACTTAATGGAGTACCAGGTGAGGAAGATGAAGAAGAAGCCAAGGAACTTGAGGCTAGCAGCGAGGCCGAAGTACACGAAGCGCAGAGAAGTGACGTCGTACTCCCAGCAGGAGCCGTGGACGCCGCAGTCCTGCTGCCACAACATGCAGGTGGTGTCGATGACGGCCCCGAAATAAATGGGAGTCGGGATGTAGGCTGAGTAAAAAAGAGAAGAAGAAGAAATCAGGCGGGGCAAAGAACGAGAGAGTGGACAGAAAAGGAGATGGAAAGAGCAGAAAGAAAGAAAAAACGATGACATGGAAGAGAAAACAGGGAAAGAAGAGGTCAAGGGAGGTAAAAAAAAACAAACTAAACAAAAAAAAAACCCAGAACAGACGTGAGCTCTCAGCTGTCTCATTGAGGTGAGACGCCAATAAAGCTGCAGGAGCTGCTGTGAGAAACTGCAGCACAAGATGAGAAGTGCCATCCTGGATTTCATAAATTTCATAATCCTCACCACCTGATTAACCCCAAACACAGTTTCTAACTGTCCTCTAAATAACTTACACTGACAGCAGCTCCCTGAACATGCATCAAATATAATTCACCTCCTTTGACTCCTCCTCATTCAGGATAACTGCCACTTTTTAAAAATCTGTAAAACATCTCGTGAGTCAGGAGGCACCGAGTGTTTACAAGCAGTGAGCCCATCTCTCCATCGAGCTCCACAAATAACACTGCTGATATTCTGCTTTTCTATTTAATTTCATGGCAAAATAAAACAAGACGAGCAGCTCTGTGCTTTCCGGTTCTACTCACCGAGAGTCCTGAGGAGGACAAACTGCATTCCCAGAGCGAACGGCCGCTCCTGCTCCGCTACAGACCTGCAACACACAGACAGGTGACTGAGGAAGGCAGAAACAGAGGATGATAGAACCAAATAAAGCAACTGCCTAAGCTAATGTTAAATATTACAGTTGAATCGCTAAAATTAAGTGTTTGTTCAATGAAAATTGAAATTTTAAGTGTTTGTTCAGTGATAACAACACACAACTCTGTGTTTCCGTGAATGTAGATTTATTTCCAAGCATCGTGCCTGCATCTAAAACATTTCTGAGACCACACACAGTCAAACTTCACAACTCGAATAAATATTCACCATCCATGCCTGTTGTGCAACCTCTTGGTCTGTAATATGCAATAAAATCCTCCAAAGAAACAAAAGCTTCACGGCCATATTTATGAAAAATAAAACGGTTAATTCTTAAAAAAAAAAACAAAAGTAAAAATGAACCAAATGGATGGGAACTGATCTGTGGACTTGGCTAAGAGTGTTTTCACCACAGACGGCACATAACCATGTTTATGTTTACAGCTTTTTTCAAGCATTAGCCAAATTACCTTTAATCTTAGTGGGTTACAGGGACATTAAAAGGGCGGGGATTCACCAGTCGACTCTGATAAAACTCTAAAGTTTGCTGACTCTGCACACAGACGTCACCATGTTTGGATGAGAGCAGGAGAGCTTTGTTATCAGATAAAGATAACAAGACTGATGCCGGCAGACTTGATCAGCTTAGACGTGATTCAGCAACAATTCTGCTCATTCACAACAAATATCTGTGTTTTTGGCTTTATTATGTTCATCTTACTTGACTGTCCTACTGCGTGATACAAATCTACTTAACAAAGACCCACTTATCCATTTTTAAATCGAAAATGGCCCCATGCCTGAATCCTTTAATGATGTTAACATTTTTATTTGTCGAATGTTCAGAAATATCTATCAAATACATACATTTCCATCAGACAAATCAGTTCAAAGACTTTGTGGGAATTGAGTTGATAAAGTTTGGAAATCACAGTTTGATAGTACTGCCACTTGGATGAAAGAAGAAATGTTCACGTTCAAATTCATCGTCACATCATCAGTCTAATAAGAGATGCCCAGACCTCTCCAGCTGATCTGGGAAGAATACTGAGGCATTCCCAAGCCAGCACTATCCCAGTACTATCCCAGGGGTCTTCTCCCAATGGGAAATGCCCAAAACACCTCACCTAGGAGGCGCTCGTGAGGCATCCTGTTCATATGCCTAAACCATCTCAACTGGCTCCTTGCAGGCCAGCTGTCCATAAGGTAAGAGAGGGAATGTAGATCAACCAGTAAGTCAACAGTGTCGCCTTTACTCTCACAGTTTGTCTACAGTCAGTAAAGTTTCTTCAACTTTTCCACCACTTTTGATTATTTTTGAAAACTCATTTCCTACAAAAATAGAAAATTGTTTCTTTTTTTCTCAGAAAGGTGATAAGAATACCTGGTCTGCAGAGAGGCAGTTACCGGTACTTAAAACCAAAGAGGCTGACGACTTTTAGTTGGAACAAAACATTGACATCCCATCCTCCTCACAGTGAGTGATTCATAAAGGCGTACCTGAGGGTGACAATGATGGCGGAGGGCTGAGCGCAAGCAGTGATGAGCGTGACGATGAAGAGAAAGATGAGGAAGGGGATGAGCGTATTGCAGGTGCGGTCGCACTTCCCCGATACGGCGTAGCCGTTCTCGTTCAGGTAGGTCTTGACGATGACGAGCTGCAGCTGGTTGCTGCCCTGACTGCCAGTCGACGGCGTGATGACCTGCCGGCTCTGAACGCAGGCGCAGTCGGAGTAGTTTCGGATCTGGAGGGCAAATGAAGATACGTATGGAAGTTTAGATACATGGTTCATAATGTTATTACTTTAGACATTAATGTAACTGCTAAAAAGAAGTGAGAATGTCTTTAGCACTGGGAAAATAAAGGCCTTTTATTACTCTTTCAAACCTATCCGAGTGCCTCCGTCTAATAATGACGACATGGCCTACAGAGGGCAGATCCAGCATCTGCTGACTCAAACAAAAACCTTGATCTTAATGTTATAGAAAGTCCAAAAAAGGTAGACAGAGCCCCATCTACAACAGGGTAAAGCTGAGAACATAACGAGCTTTCAGTTCCTTGGTCTCTATGCCTCTGGGGACCTGACATGGTCTCTATATACTTCCTGATAAGCAACAACAATGCCTCCACTGCCTGAGGAGATTGAAAAGGCTCCATCTGGACAGCTTCTACCACTGCACGGTAACATCTTGCACAACAGCTTGGTACAATCACTGCACCTGCAGCAGTTAGTGAAACCAACAGAGCGTCCTGTTGGCACCCGCTACATGCCGTTAAAGACTGCTACCTGAAACGCTTTACCTTGCATGCGTGTAACATGAACTATGACCCCACTCCCCCTTTCAACATTGATCCCCCACTGAGTGTGAAACAGTACCAGTGTCTCACACTGTAAGGCTCAGGAACAGATTTTTTTGTTCCCGGCCTGTAAATCTGTCTCTCCAATCATGTGCACCATAAGCACTGAACTCAGTCACACACTGTAACACACATAATCACTGGATCAGAACCTGCCACACTCTGACACTTTATCAGTAACAACAGATTACCTATAAGTCACTAATCTGCTATTTTATTTTCTTTATATTAATCTACATGATTTTTTATTATTTTATCCGCTTTTATATCATTTTATGTTTTTGCTTTTCTATTATGTTACTGTGTCGTGTCATTACTGTGTTGTGTTGCGCTGCACCTACATATTAATACTGCATATATCATTGTGTTGGCTTTGCTTGTATAATAACAACAAAATGAATTAAACGGAACTTTTTGGTAACATTTTGCTTCTTTTGCCAAAATTATTAAAATCTTCTGGTTTTTGGCCTTGAAATCACACATATACAACGCCAGGATAGTGTCCAGGTTACTACTACCCCGTAGTGTTTACAAGTTCAAACAAGTTAAACTGAGGATCCTTTTAAAATGAATATTGAGGGAAAAGCACATCTAAACTAAGACCTTCTTCCATCTCACTTCGAATTATTTATAAAGTAACAGTTAAGTTCAAGAACACTGTCTAAATGCAATTATTAATTTGAAAAGAACAGAAAAATAGAATTTCTACATCAGTTAATATACCAAATTAGAACCTGTTTCTAATTTTAAAAAGAAGCTGAATGGTTTAAAGAAGCTAACCCAGCAAACATGACTGTTTGAGAACATCACCAAACTCCATCACAGTTCAGAGGTTGTTGCCAGTAAAAATGACATACGTGACCTTTAGTTTGTGCTAGTTTGATTAAATTTGGACCAATGCTGTAGGTGGAGTAGCAATTCTGCTATGAGCTTATTGATCCTTTAATTTAATTCAGTTTTATTTATGTAGCGCTAAATCACAACAACACGCTTTATATTTTAAGGTAAATTGCTAAAATAATACAGAAAAAAAATCCCAGTTAACATGAGCGAGCACTTGGTGACAGTGGGAAGGAAAAACTCCCTTTTAACAGGAAGTATTCTCCAGGAGGAACCGGGCTCAGGGGGTGCGGCCATCTGCCGCGACCTGCCTGTGGATGAGAGGACGGAGCTGCATGAGCTGAAAATAGCAACAGTCAAGCTGAGAAAACCACGTGCCGTGGGCAGAAAATAGTGAAACAAAACATTTAAAATACATCTTAGACTGAATTTAAGATGTTTTAGTGTCAACATTTAAAAAAAATAAGACACAGGTATCGTGGCCTCTTACCCCAGTGCTGTCGTTGGCCACGCTGCCACAGCCAGCTAGGCAGGGGTTAAAATATGTGATGCCATCAGAGCCGCAGACCGGAGCGTACTCGTGGATTTTACAGCCGCAGTTCACATTACAGCCTCCGGTCAGGTTCCTCTGCGTCATAGTGAGTGTAGGTCTGAAGGGAGAAAACAGAACCTTTTTAATTAGACAGTTATTTTCCTTTAAAGCTATTCCACTTCTGAGTGTTCAACACTGAAAACAAATTAATCCCAGCACTTAGTGGCATTAAGTCAAATTCAGTCTGTTAACAGGCGACATCATTACACTAAACACTGTGTAAAAGCTCATTTCTTGCTCGCATTGATCCGCATAGTGACTGCTTGTCTAACACATTACTGATAAGCAGCATCAAAGTAAAGCTCAGGCTGATGGAAAAGTCATCACAGCTTTTCAATGAGCACTTTCGGTACATTTCTCCATTATTTTATTTAGTAATGATGACACTGCGTGAGGAAAAAGTTACAAATCTTCTTCAGAGAAATCTGACAGATAAAGAAATTCACTGAACACTCAGACGATTTGACGTGTTTGGGAAAAGCCAAAAAGAAAAACTAGAATTCTTAAGTTATGGGCAAAACAAGCTGTTTTCAGGTCACAGTGGCCTTGGTCCTAGATGTAGAAAAACGAATCATTTCTTCTTTCCTTCGTCCATGTAAAGTTTGTGCCAAGCTGGCACGTCCTGATCTATTTTGTTCACAACAAGTTAAGCAGTAGGGTTGGATGGACGCAGCTGTCATCAAAACACAACAGACGAACAAGAGGAAAAAGCAGAGAGAGGACGAGGAAAAGGAGACAGAAGGGAGGGAATCGAAAAGAATTAAACATGAAGAGTGGAGGGCGAAAGGACAGACAGACTCACAGAGGGAAATAAAAAAAGACCAGAGGGACAAACGAGAGAGAAAACAGAGAGGGCACGCAGCCAAAGATCCTCTCTTCCAAGCTGTCCTTGGACATTTTCCACGGTTGCCATGTAATCGCTCTCAGGGACGCTTTGTGCAAAAGAAAACGCCTCCGTTCACTGGCTCGTTATCTGTTATCCTGCACTCATCCGAACATTCGCTTCCTCCCTGACATGAGCCACAGATGGGGTGATGAAAACTACCACCTACTCGGTCAGACCGGGAAATGATTAAACAGGAGAAAGGCCACGCTGCAGTCGGCAAACGGATGTCTGCGGTTTAAGGGAAAGAGTCAGGATTCCAAGTTTACATCTGGAAGGAGAAGCAAAAGAACGACACCAGGGGAGGTGCTGAAAAAAACAACTAAGGGCTGTCAGGTTGATGAAACTGCAGACTTGAATGGAGCAGATCTGGCCAAAAACTTGTGCCGCCTCTAAAAACATGACTAAAATGAACTTCAGAACTGTGTGGGATGATTGCAGGGGAAAAGATGTTTTATTATGGCTTCATATCAAAGATTTGAGTTTGTTCGGTTTACAGCAGCTATAACATTTTAAGAAAATTAGCCAAATATTTTATTCTGAAGGATAAAATCTCTTTTTTTCCTATTATGTTGTCAACAAATAAACCTGCTGCTAATTGTCTTCAGTAACCATCTAGCTGTTATAAAGGCTATATAGTTATAAAGCTGGAGGATATGCCCACCAAGGTTTCCTAGTAAATAAATAAATAACAGCCAAGAAGTTATTCTGTTTCTCTGAATAAGAATAATGCTAAAAAATGCAGTACAGGAAATGAACAGATAATAACGCTGAGAAACCAA